AAATCTTGGGGAATCTTATTCTTGGATGAACATAAAGAAAAAATTTGGAACTTTAGAAATAACAGTAATTTGAGTGAGGGTCTCAGAAGAAAAATTTTTCAAAGGATAAGCACACACTCTTTTAGCAGTCAAATGTGGAATTATGTACTAGGTGGGAATAATCCAGACAAATTTATGACAAATTTAAAGTTCTTAGGCTGAAAAAGCACATCTACCATGAATAAACAAATTAATATTGGGCCATGAAATAAACACATATTGCTTACTAGCAAATCTCATAGCCTGGCACATAGTTTCTGTTTGGGTATGTGGAAACATTTCTGCATATGTGCATGATGCCGATTACACAGACACTGGTTTTAGATTCACAGGCATTATATAAGGAGTTTAGTAAACAATTATTAATTAGTACTCAATCATTAAGAAAAAGCAATTATTTTACTTTAGTTTTTTATTGTGGTAAATAGATACATAACAAAAATTTTGCCTTTTTCTTGAAAGATTTTTATTTAGGGCGCCTGGGTGGCTCAGTTGGTTAAGCGACTGCCTTCGGCTCAGGTCATGATCCTGGAGTCCCAGGATTGAGTCCCGCATCGGGCTCCCTGCTCAGCAGGGAGTCTGCTTCTCCCTCTGACCCTCTTCCCTTTCATGCTCTCTATCTCTCATTCTCTCTCTCTCAAATAAATAAATAAAATCTTTAAAAAAAAAAAAGATTTTTATTTATTTGAGAGAGAGCACGAGAGGGGGGCGGGGGGGGGGAGAAGCAGACTCCCTGCTGAGCACTGAGCCGCACGCAGGACTTGATCCCAGGACCCCAGGATCATGACCTGAGCCAAAGGAAGATGCTTAACCGACTGAGCCACCCAGAGCCCCCCCCCCCAAATTTTGCCATTTTTAACTGTACAACTCATGGCATTAATCACATTCACAATGTGTGCATCCATTATTGCTACTGATTTCCAAAACCTTTCATCACCCCAAACAGAAACTCTGTACCCATTAAGCAATAACTAATCCATTCCTCCCTATCCCCAGGCCCTGATAACCTCTAACTTACTTTCTGTCTCTGTGAATCTGCCTATTTTAGATATAAGAAACAAATAAACGGAGTAATAGAATATTTGTCCTTTTGTGTCTGGCTTCTTTCAGTTGGCATAATGTTTTCTTTTTTTTTTTGGCAGTTTTTTTTTAACTTTTAATT